GGTGTCAGAGCTCATTAAGCATTTTTAGTGCCTGCGAGTAAAATGCATAGCTTCAAAATTGCATCGTAATTTTAAGTTTCGGGAGATAAGTTACTGTTAAAATGTTAGTATTTTAAAAACTGCCTACATAAATTCAAAAGGTGCCTGCGAGCCGCGCTCGTGCATTTTAATAGTGTCTGCTGTATAGCCAGGTATGTTTCACTATCTCTGCATGATCTAACCATGTTTTACTCAGCAAAGAACGCGGTATTTTTTCTAGGATTGTGTTCGAGAATTTATGTTGGACTTTCTCCCCAACGTCTGGAGTGAGGAATGCAACTTAAAACGCGTCAAGATCCATGCACAAATTTTGCTTCGTCTTGGATTAACCCGAGATGCTTTGGCGATATTTCTTCAAAGGCAACTGTGGCAAGAAGCCGTCGAATTTTACGTGGAAATCACACGATCCTCGACAGATATGCTTGAGGTAATTTCGTTAATGATTTCATTATAGTTTTGATATAACTAACAGCAATAATGCTTCTTCATAACAGGTTTCTCAACTGTACGAGATCTTGCTGTCTGGTGTGGTACGAGGGTCTGGGACTAGTCAAAGCGAGTTACTCACCAAAGTTTTTGAAATGAAGCCGAAGCTGATCGAAGCTCAAAATCTGTTCGAGTTGTGTTTAAGGACTATGCCAGAGAATTCGACGGAGAGCGTGTTTAAGGAACAATGTTTGACCGTTGGTGATGCAAAGAAAACACTCGTAAAATTTTTACCCACAACATAAAGCTACAGTATACGCAGATCGTAAATAAGCATGCGACCTACACACGTAAAAATCTCGCAACTTGTCAACAAGATGTGTTCGCAACAGGCTTGTAGCGAGCTTGTCACCCAGAAGTGTTCACAACAGGCTTGTAGCAAGCTTGTCAACAAGTTGTAACAATGTTGTTATTTTATCAAGTTGCAACAAGGTTGTCACTCACAACTTGTTGACAAATTGTTGAATTGCAGAACGATAACAAGTTGTTGGAACAACTTGTAACAAGTCTGTTGAGTTCAACCACGGTGGTTCAACAACCTTTGTAGCAAGGTGTCAACAAGCAGTGCGAACACATCCTGTTGACAAGTTGTTGGAACAGCATTGCTACAAGTCTGCTGTAGGTTTGTTACAACTTGTGCGTTTTTACGTGTGTACTCTATTTCTACACAGTTATAGACTTTTGAACTTACCTATATTGTGTATAGTTATAGGACATCGGTCAAATTGCTCTGCACAAAAATGCATTCATTTTAGAACAGCAAAACACAAATTAAAACTGACTAACAGTTGTATTAAAATGTTATAATATATATGTTATATTCTTACATGTTATATATGGTGTTAAAATTTGTGTTATTCAAATGTTATATGATTTTTAAATATTCTAGTATTTCCTCTCTTATAATTTATATTTTGATCATCCACTAATCATAAAGGACCAGCCCTACTTTGATTATGTTGTATATAATATTAACAAGATATCTCTGACCCGAAGGTCAGACTGTTAGTTTCATCTTACTTCCCGGCTTATTCTCAAAATAAGAGAGAATTTATGGTTGAATGTTATGGTTTTCTCTAAGCATTATTGTGGAAGCAGGTCAGTCTGTAATGATCAGAAATTTATCCATGGAAATTCTTTTTATTATATGTATATATTATTATATGTGCAATGGAAACGAGAAAGGAAGTTTCATTTCCATGTTGTGTTGAGTGCCATCATCCTAAGTTGAGCACCATCTACTGCCCTGCCAAGCTCGGATGAAACGAAGATGAGAGGTGGGACCTTGGTTAGCTGTTCTTAATGCTTTCCCAACACTATCATGTATTCTATTTAAGTTAAAGCATAGTTGGAACACTCATGAAACCTTTATTTTGTTAATCTAGAGCGTGAAATGTCCCATTGGGTGATTCCAGCTATAGACGAAATTTTGATCAAGGCAAGAAGAACGAAATCCAACAGCACAGCTAGAAAGAGCATCTTAGAATGAGTAAAACTGCAAAGATTGGTTGCTAGATATGTTGTAAAATGAAGAAAATATAGCCCTGTGAAGCTCGCAAATTTTCTATATATTTGTATTACGCGCGGTTTAAATAACCACTTTCGGTTGAAAAATGGTTATTTTCCCGCGCGTAATGCAAATATATAGCAAATTTGCGAACTTCACAGGGCTATATTTTCCTCATTTTACAACAATTCGCAACCAAACTTTGGAATTTTACTAGATCCAAATTTCGTTTATTGCTCGAATCATTCTCATCAACTCTCATTTTCGTTTGACCGGGGCTTACTGCTACTGAAAGATAATTAAAGATAAAGTATGACCTTACTGCTGCCTGATCTGTCAGAGTTTTGCCTCTCAGCGACTTCCTGCTCAACATTTTCACCAGCCTGCTGTGTGTGTTCCTCCCCATCTCTGCTCTGAGACGTCACAGTTGCAACCTTCTCCCCTTCTGAGGAAACCGTGCCCTCATTTTGGGTCTCATGTGACTGCGGCAAAAGATCTTCTTTGCTGTCATTCTGTCGCAGTTTGATCGGCATTCGAGAAACACCTTTTCTGTCCAACCCCCCCTCTTTTGGAGCACTTTCCTTGGGGAAAGCACGAGTAAGTGAGAACGGTTCGAAAATTGACTCGGAGTTTAGGAAAGGATGGTTGTGGGGTCCTGCAAAGGTAGGGAGGTTGGTTCCTCGAAAACTAGGAGACGGGGGTGCTACACGGCGTTTAATACTTTCAACGATAGTATTGGATGATGGAGGCGAACGTGAAATACTTTCCTCGGATATCTTTTCTGATATATCGCCGTCCGAGTCTACGATTTTTATTCCGGGAGCATTTGCCTCACCGTCTTGCTACAGAAATGAAACAAAAATCTTGTAGTTATTCTGTTTAGAATTTGTAGCAAGCAGTGTTCGCCACACAATGGTTAGTGTCTTTCACCTTTGTGACGAGGGTTCAATTCCCGCAATATGCAGCTGTCTCATTATAATTCTATCTTAGTTGCATGTGAGAATGCTTACAATTTCCTCCTGTAGTAGGACTGGATCAATAAGAGATGATCCTTACTGGATTTCTAGGCAGAACTGTTTTGAACTGATAGAGCTATCCAATATAAATAAAGTTAGTTTAGTTTAGGTCTCCTCCTGTAGTAAGTTTAGTTTAGGTTTCCTACTGTAGTAACACTGGATCAATAAGAGATGATCCTTACTGGACCTCTAGGAAGAACAGTTTAAAACTGATAGAGCTATCCAGTATAAATAAAGTTAGTTTGAATTGGTTTAGGTTTCCTCCTGTAGTAACACTGGATAAAAAAGAGATGATCCTTACTGGACCTCTAGGAAGAACAGTTTAGAACTGATAGAGCTATCCAGTATAAATAAAGTTAGTTTGGTTTAGGTTTCCTCCTGCAGTAACACTGGATAAATATTAAATAAGAGATGATCCTTACTGGATCTCTGAGAACAGTTTAGAACTGACAGAGCTATCCAGTACAAAGTAAGTTTAGGTGTTCGTCTACCTTTTCTTCCCCATCTTCACTTTGCATGCCATCCTCTATTCCACATTTTACTTTCAGTTCTTCCAGTTCCCGTTCAGTTTTTCGTAATTTTATTTTCGCTTGTTTCACCTCTTCCTCCATCACGTCGCATCTTGCAACCACCTCGTCATAACTCTAAATCAGAAATAGAGGAGGGAAATATCAAGATTTTGGAAATCTCGCTCGATAGAACCATAACCTATCCGAAGGGAAGTTGGCTGTGAAATTCATTAGAATAACAATATTTAACAATTATTCGCCGAAGGCGGGTGATTAAATTTTACACCTAAATTTTACACCTAAATTTTACACCTAAATTTTACACCTGCATTTTACACCTACATTTTACACCTAAATTTTACACCTACATTTTACACCTACATTTTACACATAAATTTTACACCTACATTTTACACCGAAATTTTACAAATAATCACCGAGCCTGAGGCGAATAATAATCTTTTGTGTTTTTGGGACTGGATTTATTTTAATTTCGCTTATTTCTTTATCAGTAGTGAGCTTAAGCAATGACGTTTTTGACAGCAGGGAGGTTGACCGGAAGTAAATTTGACGTTTTTCACCAATCACAGCCCTTGACCCAGTCTTCTGACGTTACTCATGCCGTTCGTGTTGTCAAAAACGTCACTTGCTTAAGCTCACTAGTAACTTCCACAAAACGGCTAGCCGCCATTTTGAAAATTTCGGTTTTATATTCACCTGGGGCCGGTTGTATAAAAAAGTGATTAAAGTTAACTATAGGAACGTCATCCAATAAGAAGCGCCAATTTAAGTGTTAATCACTATTTAACTACAAAATAGTGATTTAAAAAGTGATTAAGAGTTTTATACAACCGGCCCCTGGAGGTGAATATAACAGCTTAATACGTCAAGTCTGACCAATCAACGTGTAGGATTTGTTATGTTCACTTGTGCAAAAATACTAAAACTCATTATCTATGTTAGTCAACGTTTATTCATCAATCTGATCCTTCACAGTCACGTGCGTATTGTATTTTTGCTCAAGTAATCAATATTTAGGAAAGTTACCTATCCGTGACTCGAACAATAGCGTAAATTGGAATTTACTATTGGTGGATTTGGCAAAAATACAATACACGTGACGGTGAAGGACCAGATTTATGAATAAACGTTGACTAACATAGATGAGTTATATTGTTCTTCTGATGAATTTCACAGCCATCTTCCCTTCGATAGGCTATGATAGAACTAACGTAGTTGATGCAAGTCAACTGGACTCTGCAGGTTAGAGCGGCTGCACCGGAATCGCAGGTTGGATTCCTGCCTGAGGGCCTATACTGTAGTTGAATTTTTGGTATCTGCTCCTGAAAGTTGTAAAGTCCAAAAACCCTTCAACTGTTAGAAATAGGGTTGTCTTGTAAAGATCAGGGGCCGGTTGTTCAAAGGTGGGTTAGCGCTAACCCTGGGTTAAAATTTAACCTGCTGTTTTAGTTTGTGTATTTCTACACGTCTGTTTATTTCAACACTTCAGAGAAGTAAACTCCTATCGATCCAGACAAGATCTCTGAAGAAATATTTCCAAATTTATAAACAAGCTGTCAGAAAGCTTGCTTTGAATTTTAGATTAACCTAGGGTTAAGCTAACCCAGCTTTGAACAACCGGTCTCACCATTCCACAAACACAAATTTATTTTACCTTCACTTGCAAGATTTTGTCTTCAATTGTTGTATGGTTCTCAGCCTTCAGTTCTTTGTATTTCTTAACAGCTTGATCGCGCTCTATAAAAGCTTTGTCACGATCGAGTACTGCCTCCCGTCTTGCAGCAAAGGCCCCATCACGTTGTCGCTTGTACGTCTGTCTGTCATGTTCTAGATGACGCACATGTTCCCTGAGGTCTGCAGCAACCAATTGCACCTACATTGTGATACAGAATGGCACGTCTTATTGTGTGAACATGAACAGGCTATAGAGTTATCCATTATAACTAAAGTTAGTTTAGGCTTTATTCTGACCATAACGGATATAGATCTTACTGAACTTCTAGTGAGAATAGTTTAGAACTGATAAAGCTATCCAGTATAAATAAAGTTAGTTTAGTTTAGGTTTCCTCCTGTATAGTAACACTGGATCAATAAGAGATGATCCTTACTGGACCTCTAGGAAGAACAGTTTAGAACTGATAGAACTATCCAATATAAATAAAGTTAGTTTAGTTTAGGTTTCCTCCTGTAGTAACACTGGATCAATAAGAGATGATCCTTACTGGACCTCTAGGAAGAACAGTTTAGAACTGATAGAGCTATCCAGTATAAATAAAGTTAGTTTAGTTTAGGTTTCCTTCTGTATAGTAACACTGGATCAATAAGAGATGATTCTTACTGGACTTCTAGTGAGAACAGTTTAGAACTGATAGAGTTATCCAGTATAAATAAAGTTAGTTTAATTTAGGTTTCCTCGTGTAGTAACACTGGATCAATAAGAGATTATTCTTACTGGACTTCTAGTGAGAACAGTTTAGAACTGATAAAGCTATCCAGTATAAATAAAGTTAGTTTAACTTAGGTTTCCTCCTGTAGTAACACTGGATCAATAAGAGATGACCCTTACTGGACCTCTAGGAAAAACAGCTTAGAACAGATAGAGCTATCCAGCATAAATAAAGTTAGTTTAATTTAGGTTTCCTCCTGTAGTAACACTGGATCAATAAGAGATGACCCTTACTGGACCTCTAGGAAGAACAGCTTAGAACAGATAGAGCTATCCAGCATAAATAAAGTTAGTTTAATTTAGGTTTCCTCCTGTAGTAACACTGGATCAATAAGAGATCGACCTTAATGGACTTCTAGGGAGAACAGTTTAGAACTGATAGAGCTATTCAGTATAAATAAAGTTAGTTTAGTTTAGATTTCCTCCTGTAGTAACACTGGATCAATAAGAGATGATCCTGACCCTGTTTCCAGACAGAACAGTTTGGAACTGATAAAGATATTCAGAATCATTACCTCATTCATCTCTTCTCTATATTTCATCAACTCCTCCTGCAGACTTCCAAAATCCGCCATGATGACTGTATGATCACTCAAAGTCTTCTTCTTCTCATATTCCACGATGTCATAACGAGTCTTCAACAGATGAATCGGAGTTAATAGAAAATATAAAGTGAACTACTATATTTAGCTACAAAACGGGTAGTTAAAAAGTCGACAAGCCTTTTCGCCCCTGGACCCCCTAATCCCTCGTGCTGTTAAAAAGTTTTAACGGTTCTACCTTCAACGCCTCAGTCCATTTAGTCAACTCATCTAATTCCTCTTGCACATGTTCTTTCTCTTCGCGAAGTCTCATGTTGTGAAATTGGCACTCACGATACTTTCTCATAGTTTGTTCCGCCTTCTTTATTTCGTTCCCCTGTCGTTCTATGCGCTCGCTCAAACGTAGAGATTCACATTTCTTCAAGTGGTAGCTTTCATTCATCTAGAAAGCATTGTGAGAGAAGATCTCGGGTTAGGCGTGGTGTTATGTATTCAAATTAGGGCTTGCTGATCAGGGCAGGAAAAAAGAATTTTCTTCCTGGGAGCACAATTACCTGGAGACAAAAATTTCCTGCAGACCAACGGCATATTTTTGTGCTAAATCTGCATGTACATAACCATGGTTAAATGGAGCAGATAATGTCTGTCAACCATATGTTGTCGCGCCCATAGTGGGACATGGGTGTTAAGGTTTCAAATTTTCAATAGCAAATCTTCATTCAAAGGAATTTCCTGCAGCTATTTAACATTTCCTGCGAGCAGTGCCTATTTTTTCCACCCCTGCCTGTTGCTAATACTCCGTTATTGAATGCAAGGGATTAGTCTAAGGCTAGCATTACCATTTGGCATAGCTGAAAATAATATGTTTTGTTTCTGGGAAGTTTTGGTGTCAAATATTTCTGTCGAGCTCAATAGTATTCTTCCTACAATTATTTTCTGTGACTGTTATGCAATCCCCTAAAATTTCTGCCAGCTAAGCCAGGTGTGAATATTTTCTGGAATCCTAGATGCCAGGATCCACCATTGTCTCCTGCTATGCTAAGATTTTATTAAGATTTAAAAGATTTTATTAAGATTTAAAAGATTGTAATTATATTTAATACGGAAATTAGGGCCTACCTCCTTAACCATCTTTTGCAGTTCGTCATTTTTCACTAACAAATTATCGTTTCTTCTTTTCAAACCTTCAATCTCTTCTCTCGAGCTCATCAAGTTTGTTTGTAGCGCAATAATATAAATATCTCGATCAGATATCTCTTTTCTCATGCTGTCTATGTATTGCACACATTGTGGCCAATTGTTGTTTTTATTATCTGGCATCGAAGTTGTCTTCTGGGAGTCGATCTAATATAAAAGATCAACACATTTTTCATATTCTAACATGTTTATGATCTTGAACTGACTGTGCCAGTGTAGGTATTGCCAATAATATGAACAAGCTTTCGTTGGTAGGAATGCAACTACCTGAAGGGCCTAAACTGAACTAACTTTATTTATACTGGATAGCTCTACCAGTTCTAAACT